ATTGGACAGCAGTTATATTGAATCGATTCCTCTGATCAACGGTCTGATCGATACCGGCGTCTGAGTCAAGGGGTGGAGGAGTGGGAGCTTTATCTTCAATCTCAGTCATCCCTAAAAGGGACTGAAGAGGTGCTAATCGGTTAGCGGCGGCCGAGTTGTGACGTTCCTTGTCTTCGGCGGACAAATGCTCGGTACGAGTCTTAGTGACCACTTCAACGTTTTGGGCGCAAAACACTTTAGAATCGTGACCATTAATTGTCTCGCTTTTATCGGTTCTGAAGCCATAAATTCCCGCTTTGCTCCTAATTTTCAATACAAAACAAAATGTATACAAAAAACGTGATCAAAATCTCTCATAAATACCTTTCAAAATGAATTTTATCGGTGTCTATAAATGTAGTGCTCGTAGGAGTGGTGAGTCGGGCGTTGACTAACTCGTCCGACGGCGTCAGCATTTCGATGGCGTCTTCATTGTCGGCGGACATCATTTTCATGGTCTCGACGATCACCTGTTTGTTGTCGTGATCCACTTCCATGAAAACGGCGCCGTTTTCTAACACACAGACAGAGACCACTTATACATTACGGTCACACAAGCGTATGGCTACACATCATACCAGTGCCGGTGAATATATAACTCCGGTTCCCTCTCTGCCAATTAGATGTCTGATCGAAACCAACTAAAGTGGTGTCTATTCTAACGCTGGACCGACTCTTGTATATCTTATAGGTATCGCTCGGACACATACGCGTCACCAGTGGTACTGCGGGACAGATAGTGGACATAAGCACACGTACTGTAACCTATAATCGGGTGCCAAACACTTACCCCAACTCGTGAATTCCCATTTCATCTCCACATAAAAGTCTGGAGTCTAATGAAAAGCATACAACAAATGTTGAAAAAAATTACACAAATAAATGCATTAAACGGTTAAATACATCACAAATTTTCTTCAACAGTACGGGAATGCCGTCCACACGACTGGTATAGCGTTGCCAATCGCGGCGCTCCAGCACTTCACGTATAAATTCCGGATCATTACTACTGACCGCTTCGTGTAGTACTAGAAGTGTGTTGAATGCATAGAAAGTAAACAATACGTTGAATAGAGATATTATAAATAGATTTAATAGCTATATGTATAGAAGTTGTATAATATAACTGAAGCCAAGAATAACTATAAGATACTGTATAAGTATATTGAATGCTATATTCAAAACATACCGTTCACTCAACCATCACTTTTAACCTTTTATTACATTTCAATGGCTTTGTTTGTAATAAAAACTATATATAAAAGTAATAATTGATGAAAAAATGTATAAATAGACGCCCAGAATCTCAGATAAACAGTGAACTCAATAATCCTATTAAAAACCATTCAATTTTCATACAAATAAATAATAAATCAATTAATTCACTAAATAATAACTCATTACATAAAGAGTACACTATATATAAAAACAATACACATAACCATTAAATTCAATTAAATTGGACACAAAATTACCGTTAAATCCGAGCGAATCTTCAATATTGACGTTAGCGTTGTGTCGGAGCAGATGTCTGGCCGCCCGGTAGTGGCCTAACGTCACGGCCAGCATCAACGGTGTCCGTCCTCGAGGGTCCCGTAACTCCACGTCTAACTGATTGTCATAACAAGCAAAATGAGTGGTCATTAAAGCCAATGTCCAACGATTGACAACAGATATGAATACCTTATGATGAGAGTTGAGTAGCTGTTCCAACCGGTGATCGCTGTTATGCCATACGAGCCAATGGATGGGATACGAGTGGGACAACTGCCGCATCACTTCGATGACCGCCGGGTCGTCGTTGGGGGCGGTGTTGGCCACCACTACCGCACCGCCGGCCGCACCCGTAGTCGGCCTATCATTAGCCGATTGTCTGGTATTGTCTGAAGACATGCCTTTCGTATATATGTTTATCACAACAAAAACACGATTGGATTTCAATTACAAAATGATAATCAAATCAATTAAAAAAAAGTAAAAATAAATAATAAATTCAATTGAAAGACAAAACGAAAACAAAACAACAAATCATATGATTGTGTAATAATTGGGCGAAATATGAGCCAAACATTTGACGGGAAACTAAAAAATACTTTGGATTTCGATATCAAATGAATGGTAATTATAAACAACTATTGCTTTTAATTGTTATTTAATCGACAAAAACATTGTTTTGTGAATTGAATTGAAATTTCATTTCATTTTTCGATACAATATTTGAGTTGTATTTCTGTTTTTATTTACCCAAATGTCAACCAATCATACACTGGTCCGCAACACATACAACGTTACGCTTCGACGTGGGTGTGGGGGTGAGAGGGGGGGCACCCATTGAACAGAATATGGCTATAATTTCTATGCGTGACTCATATCGGGGGCAATAAATGATATGTTTTATAGTAACTTCTTATGGGAAGAATTTAAATGTTTTGCATTATTTAAATGCAAGAATTTTGTTCGTATATAACGTTCCGTAAGAATAATAAAAGCGGTAATTATTAGGAATAAAGTGAATTATCAATAATATTACGGTGAAAATTTGATCATGGTAATTTTTACGGGGAAAATTTCAATATAATATGATAGTTAATGCCATACAAGGGGTATACGTATGTGTGGGAGGCGTGAAAGGGGGGCAATGAGTGGTGTGTTGTAAACGTAATGTACGGATGGCTTTGAATTGAATTGCAAGACATTGTGTGCAATGACTTCACACTTGAGATTGAATGCAATATTTATATGATTTTGTGTTTTGTCTGCGAATTAAAAGCCATTCATTGATTGAATCGTTAAAAAGACCACAAAATTGATTGCAATTCAAACACAACCACTGATTAGTGGAGCGACTCATAGACAGCCAAAGAAACGCCGCATTCATTGCATATCTCTATACAAAAGCCAAACACAAACAGACAGTGAATGTGTTAAAGGCTTTTACAAATCGTTGAGAAGAAAAAATTGTGTTTTTTATAAATAGTTTAATAAATTTTATATAATTTATTAGATATTTATCTTCCGTTTGAAAAGTGTGTCATATTTTTTGTGCTTAATTTGTGATCATTTTGTTAATGAGTTTTGCATTTATAGTCTGTTTTTGTCTCTCATCTGATCCCACACTCTGGTAGTGAACCACTGATCGCTCGGATCTGATGGAGTGATGATAAGAGTGCGGCTGACTATGCGTTTTGTTGACCACACCATCCATTGATTGAATTACGAGATTGTTTGGGACAAGAATTGCCTCAACACGTGACACAATGGGCTCCACGCCTGACATACCCTCACAAATGCTTCATAAAAAGTAAGTACAATATGTCTGAAGACACGACCACTTTGTGATGAGATTATGGATAATGTCTTGGTTTCAAACAATTTGTTATAGACTTCAAAGATCTCATTCGCTGACAATGGATGAGACGGTTGGCGGCGGAGGCGATGAGCCCACCGCTAACACATCCACTGACGACTCGCTAAAGCCATTGATGAGACAAGACATGGATGAGGTATACCAGAGCCCACTCTAACCCCTCTCACAATGGTTTATAACACTTCTATTTGGTGTGCGTTTAGGCGAGCGATGGAACGAACCAAGAGTTGGAGGACAACGAGTCTGCGGTGGGAATAAAGCTGCAGATGTCGTGCGAGATGTGTAAGAACTATGAGATCCAACTGCAAGAGATGCAGTACAACGAAGTGGTGACGAGTCTTCAGTTGGAGAACTGCGAGAAGACAATCAAAGGGTTGAGAGAAGAGTTGAGAAAAGAGCAAACGTTTCGCTCGGATTTGGAGGAGAAGTTCAACGAAGACGCCAAACGCGCCGACAAAGAGATCCGCGACCTCTGCGGTCGTGTCGATGAGAGTTACCGAACGATCGACGCGTTGACCAAAAGTCATCACGAGTTGCGCAAAGAGGCCAATGATATAATCGCTAATCTGATGACACAAATGGAAGAGGCGTCCAAAGAGTCGAACCGAATACAAGCCGACAATAATGTGCTTTTGGGTAAATTCGTGGCCAAAAGTCAAGTGCTTCAGAACGAGGCCATCGATTTGCCACAAGATATCGACGAAATGCAGTTCTATTGCTTGAAACTGCGCGAAGAACTCATCACTACATTAGCGGCCAAAGAGCGCAATGAGGAGACAATGAAGAGTGAGATAATGTTCCTCAAGGATCAGATGATTGGCGAACAACAGTCCAAAGAGACCATCGAAGAGAATCTGACGCAAGACAACGATATGTTGCGGTCGACTGTGGACTCACTGCAGACAGAGTTCAATGATATTAAACGCCGATACGAAGAACAGGAACAGCAACTGTTCCAGTGTTCCGATCGGTTGAGTCGACTCACGGATAAGACACACACAAAGATCTCCGAATTAGAGGTTCAGAACAATGATCTCAGCTCTTCAAAGGTATGAACGGATCAGATGTAGTGATTATTTAACTAATGATTTATTTGCCGATTCTGTGTCCATAATTGTAGACGAAGTTAGAGTCAGACAACTCGGATCTTAGGAATCAGGTGCAGAGTCTTCAGGTGGAGCTCGACAATAGCGAAGCCGTTCAGAAGGATTTCGTTAAGTTATCGCAATCTTTACAAGTAATGCCCAATCGTTTAGTGATTGCCATTTGTGTTGTCTATTACTAAACCATTGTTTATCTCATAAATAGATCCAATTGGAAAAGATTAGACAATCGGATAGTGAGGTCCGTTGGCAACACGAAGACGATATCGTTGAATGCAATTCCTGTAAAAAGGCTTTTCACTCCAAAAAAGAGAAAGTAATTCACTATTTGTGTTGATTATAACGAAATGCTTGATATAAAGTGCTAATTGATTGAATTGATTGCGATTACAGTCTCATTGTTGTCATTGCGGTCGAGTATTCTGTTCGGAATGCAATAATAAAGTGATTTATAGCGGACCAAAAGGCCGGCCATTCAAAGTGTGCGGCGTTTGTCATACGTTATTAGATAACCAGACGGCCTGTTGGTTCGTCAATGAAGCGCCACAGAGTCCCACTTGATTCACACACCATTCCCTCCGACCCACACTCAACCCCCTCTTCCCCCACCGGCCCCACACATCCCGCCCTCTGCCCCCACTCTCTACTCATTAGCCGTTTTGATTCCCATCTCTTATTAGTCTATGATTTGAATCTAAAGTAATAAAAGATACGTTTAATTGAGTTTTATATTTTATGAATTTAACTCATTATTATTTTTTTAAATTTGTTGGATTAAATAAGTATTTGATTTGTTAGCATTTTAATTAAATTATTTGTAATTTTATTGTTTAAAACAGCAATTGTTTAGTTAATGACACCCAAAAACCCCTTTCACTAGTCATACCATTCAATTGATATTTAACTTAAATATTATTTTTTATAAACTCATTATTATTGTCCTCTTTTGAAGATTATTTTAATTAAATTAAAACAATATTAAATATTCATTTTGTTT